TGTTTCAAAAACTATAGTAATTACGGCATTAAAATGCAAGACTCTAAGTTATAAATTTTAAATAATATACAGAAGCACATGAAAATTACAAGAATTTTAGCTGCAACAATTATTAACTTAACCAAAGAATTTGCTATATATTCACACAGTTTTTTTATTAAATACAATATAAAACTATAGCAGTATCACACTATAAAGTTTGCTGTAAGTTTACAGACTACCTTTAAAAATATATAAGTGCAATTTTTTCGGTAAAATTCTTGAAGAAATATGTAAATTAACTTTAAAAAAATCTATAAAAATACAGTACTAGGATAAAACCGCTGTAGTACTACTAGAAGTGATAGGAGTAAAACTAATGGAATAAAAATATACAATTTTTACAGACAACAGTAAAACTACAATACTGGTTTAAATTTATTTCTGGCAAAATACAACTTATTTTATTTGCTATATATTTTAGTTAATTAGAAACAAAAAACGAAAAAGAACTTTGGCAAAACGCAACACCAAATAGCATCAACTCTTTTCCAGATTTTCTTTCACACCCTATGCAACTAAACAATTGCTTTAACGAATGTGCGAACATCACAGATCATAGCGCGAGGCAAAATTAAATTTTTCAACTCCAATAGAGTGAAAAAGATGAATTAAACCTAAATCCTATGGATGAAGATGCTCTAAAAAAATATATATCAGGCAGGTCAAAACTTCTGCTATAGGAGTGTTTTTTTCTACGTTAAGTGTCGTTAACTGGGCAAAATCTAATATTCACGCGTCTGTGCTACACAGTATGTGCGGTATAGGCGCGGCGCTACTCGCCTTTGCATAATGTATTTTTTTTGTATACATAAATACAAAAGATTAAGGACTAAGGCAGCAAAAAACCCAAACCTACGGCTCTCAGAAATGAAAAAAAAAACTTATCTAAGCTAAAAATTTCGCTCAGATCCCAAAGGTTTCTAGAAGACACTGAACTATTTGAACATTAAAGCGAAGCCTTGACTGCAGTACAGGTGATGTTTCTGGTCCGTCCACATTTAATTAATTTTTTAAAGAAAGTGTTTCGCCTCCCGCTGGTGTAGAGCAGGCTAATGAAGATATGATTTGGGAGTTGTATTTGGGTGATGTTTATGACAGAATTGCTAGTCGGCCTAACTTTGCAACCGTAACAGAGGAGGATGCGGAGTAATGTTCAGAATTAAATCAAACGCAAAAGGTGTGGACGGCATCGATCTGCAAATACTTTCTTTATTTACTTCTCATATGTATTTTTACCAACAAATTTCCCTTATTGTGGAAGGAGGCTAATATAATACATATCCCCAAGATAACTTCAACATCTGAAATCCTACATGTTCGCCCTATTAGCTTACTCTGTATTCTGTCTAAAATATTGGAGGGGATTATATATGACCAACTCAATAATCATGTTGCTGATTCGAATAGTTTGCCCGCCTCCCAATCTGGGTCTAGGCCCGGCCACAGTACGACCACAGCACTCCTTAATGTCACTAATGACCTTTTTAGGGCTCAGAATGTGTCAAGAAATACTTGTTTGAGTTTGTTGGATTATAGCAAGGCCTTCGATACTTTAAAATATAATATTTTTATTACTTTTATGAAAAATTACTTGGGAGGTCACCGGAAGAGGGTTACATTGGGATTCGTGGTGCTTTTTAAGGAGAGTTTGTTCTCGATTTACACGTCTGAATTCTCTAGGCACCTAAATAAATGGTAACCTCACTATGCTATGATATGCAAATACACTTATTATTTTTGGTCAAAAATGTCGCTGTCTTACATTGTCGGAAATGACGATCTTGAAGTGATTTATTGAATATTCAAAGCTCATGGTCTGATATTAAATGACTCCATGCCTCAGGTTGTTCTTTTTGACCATAGGAAAGAGGAAATTATTCGACATTTGTCGACAAATGTAAAAACTTAGTAGTCTTTCTTGATAAGAAGCTGTTTTTTGATTCTCACTTGTCATCTTATATTTTCTCTATTGGGATATGCGGACGTTGTGTACTAACCGGCTCTAAGACGAAAAGACCAATATATGTAATATATGCAATTGGCCTGGCACTCAAGAATTCTCATTGGTTAAATCTTGCAAATGCAAATAAAAGTAGTTTTTGTAATGAAGATAATACGGTATTCAAAATGTGATCAAAAATACAAGCAATGCTCGCCAAGTTTTCATGCACAATCTGTGAATGGAAGAGATCGTTCATATTGGACGCAAAAAGGGATTTTGACTTTCTGTTGGTTCATTATTAGTTGTAGACAACGCAGAGAGAAGACTACAACTTCATCTTGGAGAAAATCACAAATTATCGACTTGCTGCACATGTCGTTAGCAACTAAATCTTATATGGAAGCAAGTCAAAGAATTGATAATAAAATTTATTACTACTACCACTTCTACTACTACTTGGTCAAGCCAATATGGAACTTACATCAGTGATGTGGGATCTTGACTTGAGATGACCAAGAATTTTATGATTTTTTATAATATAGTTTCCGAATTTTTTGAAAAAAGTTAAATGAAAAATTTAGTGCACCAAGTACATACACATAATGCCTATATGTATGTAAATTTGATTCCGTTAATTTTTTTTCCTTTTTCACACCATTCGCCACCAGTGTTGCTGAATGGTTTGTAATGAAAATAGCTTAAGTATTCGTTGACCCACTCGGTAGTCTTTTTGCATGAGACTTTGTGACTCTACATCTTTCTGAAATAGAGTTTAATTATAATACCACATAACTTTAATAAGAGTTTATTTTATATTATTCCTTAATTTTTATACCTGTGTGGAGTTTCGCTTTTTACTAGAAGGTAGTGAACCAATTTTAATCGCTTTTCCCTCTTTGAACTAAGCGCTTGTGATATATTCTGATCGCTTTTGAAGGTACAATCTTGTAGAATAAATACCATTTTTTTAAATATTAAATTTTTGTGTTGCTTATACTTGTAGTAAGATCCATGGTATTCTTTAATGAATGGGATAGATAATTCATAAGCTGTTTTTAAGAAAAAAAAAACTTGAACGCATGTCCCAAATTATGAGATACAGGGCGGTAAAGTTTCTAGCAAAAATCTTTTTTTTTTGTATGTACATAACTATTTTAGATTTCTTTATGAGATTTGGTGCCTTAGACAGAACACTTATTTTATTATTACCAGGGGCGTCCGTATGTCATTTTAATCGTGTATCCCCGAAGAAAAAAATGGAACACGACTGACATTTTTTTAGGCGAATATTTTATTTCGATAGTCGAATTATTTCTCCATAAAGATTATCACTTGCGGTTTTGTTGTCAGATGCACCATTTTCGATGAGAATAATTACATTAATTTACTAAATTATTATAACCTTTCGCAGTACTTTTGATAAATGTGTATTTAGTAGTTGAGTAGTAGTTGATGTTTTACATTTTATATGTAATCGAATGTGGAAGACAGGAGTTTGGCCAGGCGAATGGTGCGGCTGACTTTATATGCCACTGTATAAAAAGAGTAACCCAGCAGACTGCAATAACTACCGCATGATTGCATTAATACCCCATGCATGCAAAATTCTCCTACAGATCATTAATAACAGACTTAGACCATATCTACTACCCCAGATTGCAGAAGAACAAACCGGTTTTATGCCGGGTAAGGATACGAGAGAACAAATAGGAAACGTACGACAACTAATTGAGAAAGCTAGAGAATTCAACATAACAATGTACCTCTGTTTGTCGACTACTCCAAGGCCTTCGACTTAGTAAAATGGCCAAAACTGTGGCAAATACTCAAAGAAATGGGGGTCTCTGACCACTTAGTAATACTTATCCGACAGCTCTATCAACATAATTACGGCCTGATAAGAATCAACGGTGTCACATCAAACAGGTTTCAAGCGATGAAGGGTGTCAAACAGGAATGTGTTCTCTCGCCCTTACTGTTCAACATATACACCGAATACATAATGCGGGATATTCTGGATAACTGGCAGAGTGGCATATCTGTAGGGGAAAAAAAAGTCAACAATCTGAGATATGCCGGCGACACACTAATTATAACATCCAGTGTAGAAGAAATCGAATTTATTATGCACCGTCTCCAGGAAACTAGTGCAGAATTTGGATTGAAATTAAATCCCAACAAAACTAATGTCATGATTGTAGACCGGCAAAACCAGAACCAACCCCACGTAAAAAACATAGCTGGGTTCAATGTTGTGAATAAGTACCTGTACTTGGGATCCTTAATTGACAACAGCGCATGTGAAGGTGAAATAAAGCGAAGAATTGCACTAGCTCGAACAGCCGTAACTAAGTTAAGTAAGATCTGGAGAGATACAGCCATCACTAAAAACACCAAACTAAGATTGTTGAATTCACTTGTGTTCCCGATTGCCACTTATGGAGCTGAAACCTGGACGATCAAGAAGAGCGATGCAAGGCGGATAGATAGATGCGTTTGAATTATGGGCGTACAGACGGCTGTTACGGACACCCTGGACGGCCCACCGTACAAATGAGTCCGTTCTTCAAGAACTAAATTCTGAACTAAATCTGTCAAAAACGATAAGTCGAAGCTTTCTAACATTCATTGGTCATATTGCAAGAAGAACGGACTCGCTGCAACTACTAATAGTCGAAGGAAAGGTAGAAGGAAGACGGCCGCGCGGAAGGTCACCCAAAAGATGGATAGATCAAACCAAGGATCTTATCGGCCATGGCCTTCATGAAACCGTAATCATGGCTCAGAATAGAACGGAATGGCACAATACCATAAGCACTGCTTCAAGAGCATCAGAGTCACTAATCCCTTCTTAGGGAAATGGACTAAAGAGAGAGAGTATTTATTACAAATACTATTTTTTAAAAACGTATGAGCAAGATAGAGAAATACAACGATCCCCATTACTGGGAGTGTTTTCCATGGCAAAACTTGCACTACTTTTCCATCACGCCATTCCAGTTTAGATCGAGCTTACCTTCCTCGTCGCTCCCCACCATGGTGTATCTGTCGAATCCGCTCAAGTTTCTGTGGGTACCCAAACCGAAATCGTCCTTGGTCCATTGGAGAATACCGCTTTTGTTGATGACCCTGCACGGCAACGTGACCCTCGAGCCGACCACTGCCGTTTGGTCTTGCGGTTCCATGGCAAATTTTTGCTCTCTGCCTTCGGCTTTGGCGCCAACGCCCCAACTGAATATCCGCAAGAGCAACAGCAAAAATTTGTACGTAGACGTCATTTTGATTGTCTAGTTGATATCTGAAATAAAATAATGCAGTTAAAATCAAATGCCGCCTAAATGGGATGAAATATTCCTTTCGTAAAGCAAAACTAAACGGGAACAAAAGATTATCCATTTTCTAAATTTTAAATTTTAAGGCCATTTAATTTACAATTGTTGCTCTTCTCCTCGGATTGAACTAGATTATCATATTTTCACCTATACCAATTTTAAAAAAGCTATGTCTCGAAACACCCTCAAGTGTGAGGTTTGCTAACTGAGGGTCACACTCTTTCTCTCTCTCCCCCCACCCCTCTCTCCCTCACTCTCTCACTCTGTCTCTCTACCACCCCTCTCTCTCTCTCTTTTAAATCTATCTATCGCGCTTTAAACGTATCTCTCGCGTTTTAACCCTCTCTGTTTTAACCGTCTCCTTTCTAAAATTTAAAATCCATATCTTTTAAAACGTAATCGATCCTGAGCCCGAAAAAAATAATATTCACTAATCATCAATTTAAAGAAATAGTCAAACAAAGTCTAGCAATTATTGAGTGTTTCATAACTACAGGTTTTACGGAAATTCTGTCTATCCAAAAAGAATCAATGAATCAAAAAAATATCTGATGGTACCTTCTCTGCGTGAAAAGAAAGTTTTCAAAAATAAGAATGATGGACTTTTGAGAACCTCGTAGCAAGTATCAATATGAGGGTATACATATTATGTGAATTTTTCTCGAAAATTAAGACTATTATTAGCTAATTAATAGGTATTATTCTAGAGATACCGAAAACCTCCAAAATACATTAAATGTATATAAATGCAAAACTTTAAATTAGTGTTCAAATCAGACTTTAATAGAACAGCCTAAATTAGTTACGAATTAATTTTACTTGAAGCAGCTAGGGTTTCAGTTTCAACTTGCCGAAATCAAAGATATGTAATCTGTTATCGATTCACACTTGTGGATTTTCAAGTTTGGTATCCAATTTTCTATGATTTCGGCAATAACAGTAGTCACGCAGAGTCTGCTTTTGTGAACTTCTGCCCCAAGAACAAACAAACTTCCTGAAGTCTATGGCCCCATAGCTACATTTCATTTATATATTATTTAGGAACACGCTTAACCAGTAACAAATTGCGAATTGCGTGGTGTGTTGATTAAGTTAAAAGTGTCATATGTCAGGACTACAGCTTATGATTTGTGGTCTCAAGCATGGAGAATATTTGTATATGAAGCTCCTTAGAGTCAATATATTTAAGATTATAAACACAGACGTGGTGTATTCAAAAAGTCAGATGACTTTTGTAATTGGGCGTTCATTCTACACGCAATCGATCTTCGACATTTTTTTTATGTTGGCACACATGTCCCTAACACATGACAGAAGCGATTTTGCACCACCATAATGCACCCTCACTCGTTGCTTGTGTCTTACGTTTTGGCCAAAAAAACCAAATTCACCGGATATGGCCACCTGTGACTTTTTTCGGTTTCCAAAACCTAAGAAACACATGAAAGGACCGAAGATTGGAATGATTGAGCAGATAAAGACAAAGTCCCTGGAAGAACTCAAAGCTATACCAGAAGTGCTTCGAGGATTGGACGTTGGTCGAAGTGTATTATATCTGGGGGGCAGGGGGGGAATAACTTGAAGGGGACAACATCAATTTTGATGAATAAATAAATACTTTTCGATAAAACTTAAAAGTCACCTTACTTTTTCAACACATCTCGTATATTTTTCAAAGAAATTTCCACAGGCCACTGTAATACTATTTAGAAATCTCCTGGGTTCCTCCTGTGTCGATTATCGATGAATCGAACTTGCTGACGTTTTTCCAATCATTATATAGGTATATATAGACATATATTGTCACCAGTATACATCTAAATGTCAAGGTGGTTAACTTTCAGAATTCACCACCCAAGTTCGTTAACATAATGTTTAAACATAACAAGTTTTTTGAATGTTTTCTCTCTCTGCTGTCAAAGAACATCGGAACAACGCGGACGTCAAATCAGATTTGTGGCCGCATCAGCTGGAAATTATCGCATCGTCACGTTAACTCTGAAAGCTGTTAAAACTATTTTCGCCGGTCAGCTTTCAACAGTCTCTCCGTCTTCATTTGCGCGCCAACTTGTTGCAGTAAAACGCATTTTGTTCAGACGCTGACTTATAGCTTCTCGCAAACTCCGCTCTCCCCATAAATCTTAATGAATTCCAATTTTAAGAGCTAACAAGTTTTTACATTTTGACTACGCCACTTCATAATGGTTTTTATTAGGTCTCGCAATGAAAGACTATTAATCTGAACTCATTTCCGGTTGAAATGGACACCGGCAAGTGTCGTTCGATATTGATTTTCCTGCTTTCGTTTGAAGGTACGGCGAATGTCTACGGAGGGTTTGTTGCTGGTTTTTAGCGAAGGTTTGTCGGGGTAGAGGTTTTTCCAGCATTCCTGGGCTACTGTGAAAATGAATGATAACTGGGAAGATTTTGGGGTTGGATTGACTTTTGATGGAAAATATGTACTACAATGAAACAGATATAGAGAAACGCATAGACCATCGAATAGACCATAGAATTAAATAATTCTATATATATTTTGGGTATCCTGTGAATCATAAATCAACATCCAAATTCTCCGATGTCATTCCCGTCTTCCCATTAACTGTTCAAATTAGGCGTAGGGAAACCTGATGGAACCTACTACTCAGGAGCCCAAAAATAAAATACCTGGCGTAAAGTAATGGTGACTTCCGAAACAACATTAAGTAGTTACGACCTTGAAAATATAATTATATTTCAGGTGTTTCATTTAAGATAACAAAGTTCATGAAAACTTTTGAGTGTTCTCCAACTACGACAATTTTAAACCAGCGATGACTGTTAAAAAAGTTGTTTTTTGTTTTCAGGAAGAAATTTAAAATTATTTTTTTAAGAACGAAAATTAAAACCAAAAATTTAAACTTATATAAGAACGGAATCAGTTTTACTGCAATAAAAAAATAACAGCAGACAAAAAAAACACCAAATCAATTTGCCTTCGATCAGTATGCAATCAAAGGCACTCATATACACTGATTGCAATACACTATTTATAACAATCTGAGCGTAGATGCACATGAAGGGTAATTTTTTTATAATTTTAATGTTTATAAAAAATGATAAGTTTGTTTGGTGAAAGATATGGAAGATAAGTTCGTCCAGTTCAACGTTTAACTCAATTTTGAAAAAAATATCATTCGTCCGTGTCTAACGTCAATATCATTGGAATATAATAATAGTGTTTGTTATTCCAAATTATGGCATTTACATGCCAAGTTATATAAGGCTATACAAAGGAATAATTAATAATTGAAATACAATAATTCAAGTTAACCTTACGTAGAGAACGGTATAGAAGAATTACAGGATACAAAGAAAAAGAAAAGAAAGAAAGAAGACAGGGCTACAGGAAAAGGGAAAAAAGATGTTTCTTAGTGTAAGCAACATTCGTTAATTGGTGAACCAACGTTAAAATGCCGGGCTAATTATCAAGGTGCCAAAAATTTGTAATTCATGTGTCTTTTGAATGAGCCAATAGATTTATTTTATACTTATTAATTCTAAACGCAATCTGATAGGTGAAGCATTTTTTGAAAAATTATTTTTTATGAACAGGTATAGTTACCAAATGCTGTCCACAAATATTCATGTTGTGAACATCCGTGCGATATGTTAGTTTTTTATGAAGATAGGGAGGACATATTGACTTAAATATTTTCTAATACACACATACCGAATGCAAAGACCGTCGCTGAACCATGGAAAGCCATCCAAACTCTTCAAGTTTATAGGAAATTCTTTGCCCCCGTCGAATTCCGAATATTAGCCTTATACAAGAATTTTCGACTTTTTGTGTCCTTAAAATTGTCAACAGAATCCAGAAATGATCCAGATATTGTATAAGCAAAATTAAAATGTGATATAGAGTTTCACACTTAGTTTTTTAAGATAATGAATTTCGGCGCGAATATAATAACCTAAAACTGCAAATGCTCTCTATACATAAAGTTATTCTTTATATTTTAAATTGACATCAATAACAAGACCTGAGTTTCTGAATGAATAAATCTGAGTTTTATCCTTTCCGTTAACTCTTTTCGCTCTTTTCGAATGTTACCATTACTGAATAACAGGGCTGCAAATTTACTGGGTTCATTTGACGACGGTGCCTATCACAAATTTTTTAAAACATTGTCCATGTCAGAGTTTAGAAGGTCGTTAACGAAGGTCACTTGAAAACTTTGCGAACTTACAATCATACAAGACATATATTTTTTTCTCTACATCGTTTCCTTGTAACTCTATATACTTTTCCCAGTGATGCTCCCATCTCTCTAACCCGTCCAAATAGTATCCAACGCTTTTCTCCGCAAAAAAAAATGTTCACGATGGTGATTGCCTCCTTATTGGACGAAAATATTTATCCTCCGAGCGCAGTTTTCAGATGAGGAAACAAAAAGAAGTCTCTTGGGGCTAGATCTGGTGAGTAAGGAGGACGGCTAAGCAGTTCCAACCGTAATTCGTGGATTTTCGCCATGCAACCGCTGCCCAAATCTTGATTAAAAATGTTTCAAACACGTTCTTTGGACATTTTCATAACCTGTGCTATCTCTATCACTTTAATTGGGCGGTTGTTTAACACCATTTGATGAACTTTAGCATTATTATCGTCAGTAGTAACAGTTTTTGGATGTCCGGAACGTTAATCATCTCCTAAGCTCTTACGGCCACGTTTAAATTCAGCAGCTAAAACTTCGTTGTGGTAAATGTTAATTTACGTAGGCGTAATGCTTTTCAAAAACAAATATTTTATAAAAGCTCAATACTTTTTTTTTCCATTTTCACGAAAACAGTCACATCGACTCACTCAGACGACTCTCAACTAAAAATCACGCGTCCAGAATGGTTGAAACTTTGGTAAGTAACCATCAAGAGGTGCACAAACTACTCACTAGATTTTATAAATTAGTCCCGTCATCTTCAGGGT